GAAAAGGGAAGGTGTTAGCACCCTTTTCATCTGTAGTTATCTATGGGCTCTTAATTACTTGATCACTTTTTGAAATGCTTTACGTTTGTATATGTTTGAAAATATTTTTAAAATGCCTAAGTGCGGCAATTTTGTAATGATTCTCGTATCGTTGAGAATGTATAAAAAATGTTTGTTTTGAGAATATTTATGAAAGAGAGTGTTATTTTATGGAAAGATGTTTTGAAAATGCCAATGTAAGTCAATTTACTTTATAATAACCCTCGCATCAGTCCTCAAGAGTGTTTATAAAGTGTTTTGAAAGTATTTGTTTTGAAAGTGTGAAGTGTGGAAATTGTTTTAGTTTGTGAGCAAGCGATTACGAGCGATCTACCTACTCAAAAAGTATTTGTTCTTTTCCTCCTCCTTTAGATAGTGCTATCCTACCATTGTTAGTAGGAAACCTTATTATTGGATGTGAGGGACAGGCGTGGGTCATTGTACAGTCATAGAAGGCAACTTATAAGATGCTTTAGCAATTGTCCTAAGGGACTAAGATCGTTTATCGAAGGCAACATCAAAGGGTCGTCGAGGGACTACGATCTTTTAACCGGGGGTCTTTGCTAAAGCATCTCACTTTTGAGGGGCATGATTGTTTATATCTGAGACAATAAGTGAAGGTCACCCTAGAGGTGTATGTGTGCAAAGTGTTTTGATTTCAAGTATTTTTTTCTTGGATATTAGGTTTTATAATGATTGATTTTAATCTTACCATACAAACCCTAATTACTAACAATAATAAGAAAAGTAGTAAATTTCAGAAATTAAATGTCCTACGCTATTACAACGCTTCGGGGATGGGGGTACAAGTTTATGAATGGGGGAGGACAGCAATAAACCCTAATTATCTATTACAAACTTTTGACAGTTACATGATTGTATTAGTGCAAAAAATAAACAAATGCGTGAAGATAGAAAGGGGAAAGATGCAAAAAACCTAAAAATTCTAAGTATTTTAAGAAAATATTTTGTTGTTTCTTTGTTTAGAAAATATTTGAAATGTGAAATAAAAAATTAGACCTAATTCTAATTTAATTATTCAAAATAAGATAAAGTGTGATTAGATTAATTAATCTTTATTATCAAAAACTAATTAATTAAAATCTAAAGAATTCTAAGTATTTAGAAAATATTTTTGGTGTTTTATTTAGAAAAAAAATTATAGTATAAACCTTAATTCTAATTAATTTACAAATTAATCATTTAAAATAAAACAAATGTGATTAAATTAAATTAATTTTAATTATCAAAAATTAAATTAAATAAATAAATACCTAAATCTAATTTTTTTGTGATTTTATTATTTTTCTGATTAAATAAAAAATGATTTTTAGAAAAGAAAAAGTTAATTAAAATAAAAAAAGAAGTAAAATGAGCTTGCGCTGTAAAAGAAATTGAGGGGGTGTTAGAAAGAAAATATAAAAAGGCCTAAAGCAGCTAAGCCCAGACGCCTGTTTGTAATCCAATGTGGTCAGCCTTTGATGGTTCATGGTGGAAATGCGTGCTTGAAGCATCCAGATCTGGCTTGATGAGATTTGATGGTGTTAATGAGGGAGCGCATCACTGCGCGCTGGAGTTGCTTGCACCTGATCAACAAATAAAATATTGAAAAATAAAATGCCAGAGGCATGGATCGAACTCCTTCCCTGGCACACTAACGCCTTACACACACACATGCTTGCCACTGGGGTGGCTGTTTCATCCGGTCATATAACAACAACCATTCAATATAATATAAACTCAAAATTTGAGAATGGAACAAATGGCTCCATTTCTTCATCTTCTTCCTCGCGTGGACAAACAACCAACAAGACCATTGTCAAATTCGTAAATCCTTCATTTCTCAATCAAATTGAGAATTGTAAAGACCAAACCTGTCTAAAATTTTACAAGGAATGCAATGATATAATTTATTTAAGCAATTTGGAGAAAGTCCAACGCTTCTTCTATGGACTTTCAGTGCAAAGTGATGATCCTATGAGCTTGTTGGGGCCTTCCTGAATCTATTTCAACCCTTACTTTGTGCTTAAAGTGTTTGAATTTCCCCAACCAAGTCAACTTGCAAGGCACTGTTTTTGAGTTTGGAAGATGGTGATGATGTTACAGAAGTTGTTCTTGGGTTTAAACAACTTCTATATGATGTATATGAGGTGTATAAATGATTAGTTTGCAAGGAACTTGCAAGGATTGTGAAATTCGAAGAAATAGATTTATGGCTCAATAATGGAGTTTTTTGAGCAATTATGAGTTTGAGAGTGTATGAGAGGGTTTTAGAGCTTGTCCATTCGTGTATTATCTTGCAAATGATCTCTCTATTTATAGAGAAAAGATTTGAGGACAAGAGTTGATAAGGTTTACAAGTTATGGAGTTAAGGCTTGGTTGAAATGTAACTTGAAATTTCTTGTGAAATTAAAGTTTTAATGCATAGTACCATGCCTTATAGAGTTATTAGACACCTTAAACATGTTTCTTTGAGTCTTCAGGTTGAGTGTGTGCAGATGAAACAAGTGAGAGGCTTAAGGAGAGTTGACAATTGCATAAAGCATGCTTTATCAAAATGGCAATGTGACTTTTCTCCCTTAAATGATAAGTAAGCTTGGACAAAGCTTGAATCACTTGGATAATGGTTCAAAAGTGTGTGCAAGCTTTTGATTATGGATAGATTTGGAGGTCAGAGGCCTGCAAAGGTGGGATTACAAGGCATGGTGTGAGATTTGGCCATATGTTCATCACAAAAATTACCTATAATTCAAGAATGGAATGCTAACTTCATGTCTTCGAAACTTCTAGCTCAAGCATGATAAAATTGTGTTCTATGACATTTTGAAAAGATTGAAACATTTTCTACAACTTTCATGTTGTGAGTTTTAGCTAACTCAAATGGGAACTTAGTGAAAATTAACCAAGAAGTTGAGGTGAAAAACTGACCAAAACTTGTTGAAAATTTTTCTAAGTGTTGAATAAAAAATATCACAACTTAATGGGATCATATCTCTTAATCCATACACTTTTTGGAAATCAACCCTAATTGACAAAGTTATAGAATTCATCAATCCCTACAACTTTCATGTTGAATTTTTTCTTTGAATCAACTTAGATCTTAGTGAAAAATGGCTATGAAGTTAGGACTTTTGTTAAGAACAAAAACACTTAAAAATTTTCTAAGTGTTAGAAAATTTTCCAAATTTTTTACTTTTGTTGACTTTTTTATCCTTGATGGTCAAGTTTGATAGTTTTGAATATCTTGATGACTCTTGACTTTTGAATTCCAATATTGACCAAAAAGTTAAAGTTTGACTTTTGTGTGACTGTTGACTTTTCATCAATTGATTCAATTTCTTCAACTATCAATCACTTGCATCTTTGGAAATGTTTTGAGCCATGTAATTAGGTCAAGATAGTGTATTTGCGCTCTTGAGATCATGCTTTAAGCCATTAGGTCAAAAGTCAATGATCAATCATTCTTCAGTCAAAATCATAATTTTGGTATTTTTTTACATTTGATGATTTGAGGGCTTTCCTTGAGTAATCATGATCAACCCTTGATCAAATGATGAATATCACCTCAAAATATTGATGTTGACAAAAAATCTTGAAGTTTAACTGTATGTTGACCATAGTTGACTTTTTACCCAATACAATTGGTTTTCAATCATCTGAGCCATTGACTGAGCAAACATATGAGGCAAGACTTGAAACTTGACATAAGCATTATTGAGGACCTATGATGAACCATGAAAGTCATTTGAGACCCTTGCAAACAAATTTTCTTTGAGAAGCACTAAACCCTAATTGAAGGCCCTTACTTAGAAGATCAGTTTGTCTGATCAACTCTTGAGTGGCTTTGAGTATTGTGACCTCATGAGAATGTCTTGAAGAAAGTGAGGAGGGAAAATTTTGAGATACAACAGAGTATGTATGACTTAGAATTTTTCTTTTCCCTCCTTGAGGGAAGAGGTATTTATATAGACTCATTCGAACCTAGGGTTTTGACCCCTTTCGTGGTGTTTATCGCTCTCTTCTTATTAGAGAAAGTTATTAATAACCTATCTTCTATGAATCAGTGAAGACTCTCTCTTTCTTAACTCCCACGTTATAAATGCCTATGAATAAGTCACAAATTCTGCCATAATGACACAATTGTTATGCGTGGGCGCCTATTTTTGAACCCCTTAAAATATATCACTCTTCATTTAAAAAAAGTTTATATGATATCTCTCTCCAAATGGGGCAGAAATAATTGAGATACATGTTTATCAGCTTGTTTTTTTATCACAATTAATTGTTACAAAGTGATTTAATAAATCTTAATGAATAATGCTTTCATTTATGAATGAGTGACATAGCCAAAGATAGAGAAGTAATCATGAATAATGATAAAGAACCTCAAATTCAACAATGCTACGGTTCATAAATTTTCAAGTAAAAATTAGAAAATTTCAAGTGAGAAAAAAATTGAAGAAAAAAGAAAAAAAGAAAACAAAAAATGAGAGAAAGAGAGAGAGAAAAAGCTTAAAAGGAAAAATCTGTGTTCCTGAGTAGGCGCCAATGTCCTAATTCCGAATAATCCACAAAAATTCCTAGGACGGCCCTATGCGTGAAAGGGTTCTCGCGCCAAGAATTTTCTCATCATCATCATCATCATCATCATCATCATCATCATCATCATCATCATCATCAAACAATCCAAAAAAGAACCCTTTTTGTGAACCTCTGCATACACATTTGAAATTTTCAGGTTGGTTTTTAATCTATTATTGTAAAAATTGTTACTTTTTATAATATGTTATCCAATTCAATGATAAATTTGCAATTTTGGAAAATGGGTCGGTGATTTTATGTTGGTTTTGTATTTGTTATGCCCCAGAATTGTGATTATGAAAAATTATAGCTTTCGGGTTGATGAAGACAATGTAGACATTTTATGGGTTTTGATGTTACAAGAAGCAAATGAAGCACAATGGTAATGATTCAACAATATATGGGTGTCATAAAGTCTGTATTTTGCATTGTCTTGGTTCTCAATATTGTAGCAGTTATCAGCATTGAAGAAAAGAAGGAAACAGAAGAAGAATTTGTTGGCAAATTGTTTGATCCTGCATCTGAAATATTGGACGAGGATACGGTGAGACTCGATTCACTAGTTATTTGCAATTAGGTATCTTTTTAAATTCAAATACTTTCATTATTTAAACACCCACGACATAAATATTTGACGCAAATTAAAGTGAACATGACAGTAACATACTTGTGATACTAAAATTGCGTTATAGTGCCCTCTTGTTTGTTACTACTCTTTGTCTTATAATTTAGGTTGAGTATGACTCAACTCAATCCTACAAAATCAGCTTGGATGGTGAGGGAAGACTCGTGTATCTTATTATACACCCCTTCACATACATAACTTGACATTTGGATGTGACTTGTGTGGTCGGACAACGGGCAGTGGCCTAATGAAACTTAGATCAGTTGTGACACTATCTTAAAATTTAGGTTGAATCTAATTCAATCTTGCGAAATCAGCTTGTAAGGGGAGGGATACCTCATATATCTCCAGGACTAGACATTTGGAGTGTGATCCGTGTGATTTGATATTGAGGGGGTCAATATATGATAGACTTTGATATCATCTAAAAAATTTAGGTTGAACCTAACTCAACTCTATAAAGTTGGCTTGTAAGATGATAAATGTCTCTAATATAATGTAAGAATCTGACATTTCATTTCCCGTAGTTGCAGAATCTAGTCTTCCAAGTTTCTTAAGGATTGGCAAAGGTCATATAATTGCAATGTTTCATTGTGCAACATGATTGCTCATGTTTTCATATGAATAATTTAATATGGTTTTGTTAAGTACTTTCATAATGTTGTTTGTCAAATTAGGCACTAAATTGATCAAGAAAGATTTTTGTGATTTAAGAACATATCTATGCTTCTACTTCAACCAGATCTCAAATAAATTTTCAATAAATATGAAGTTCAATAAATTTTCACATGATGCAAATGAACGTCCACTAAGTTTTAACATTCCTCACGTAATTATTGTTGAGGGTCACTTGCCACTAAGTTAAAATTCTTTGATTATTTTGTAACCATTTCTTAAACGAATGGACTCTAAAACTGGTTATAGTTTCATGACTGCAGGCAGAGATTCTATGTACCATTTGCATGGAAGATTTGATTCATGTAACGAAAGATATTGGAGATCTTGGCTTATGCCTACCAAAGGAATCACATAGTAGAACCAATGAAGTTACCTCAGAATTCAGATCAACGGCAAGAGAAAACATCCAAAATTTGATTAGTACTTGCAGTCCACAGTTGAAGGAAAACTTTCTTAACTGTTTGAGAAAACACAACGTTCCATTCCAAGATCAATCCAAGAATTGGATCACTGCTTACGAGGGATCAGGTTCGTCCAGAAGATATCCGCGTCGAGTTTCGCCTCGATACTTAGCAGAAAAACAAGACAAAGATGGATCGTCTAAAAAAGATAAAAGTGATAATGGTTCTGATAAATCATCAAAGAAGAAGTCGAAATCTTCTGACTCTAAAAATAAACAACACGAGAAAGCGGTTTATAATGCCATGGCTATGACTGCAATGGTGATGTTTGTAATTGCAGCATGTACCTTTTTATGTTATTGTAGGTGTTGCGGAAGTGGTAGAGTTAATCAAACTGATGAAAGACCGCTTCTCAGCATGAGCAGGAGTGATTATTCTGTTGGTACATAGCAAAACAATTTCATTATCACACACTTTGTTAATGTGGTATAGGTTTAAATGCAGTTTCAGTCCTTCTGTTTTTCCCCGTTCACTTGCTGAATCATCAAAAATCAACCAGAAATGTATAGATGTGAAAAATGTCTCATATTTTAAAAAGTGAGGGAATAAATTTGTTGATTTAAAACTAGAGGGACCAAAATTGTGAGTATGGCTAACTAGAGGGACTGAAACTGCAATTAAGCCTATGAGGATATACTAGTCTTGACATGATGTACATCAATCTTAATTACAGGTTCTTCAAATAATAACTCAAGAATTTCAGTAAAAGAGGAGAAACATGGAGTTCAATCAATAAGTAGTATTTTGGTTGAAGAGAAAAAGAACTCAATGAAAGAAGATGCTTCAAGACCATCTTTTGATCTTAAACCTCCACCTGGTAGGGTTGGAAATGGTAAGAACTCAATGAAAGAAGATGCTTCAAGACCATCTTTTGATCTTAAACCTCCACCTGGTAGGGTTGGAAATGGTATTCCGCCTTTGAAACCTCCTCCAGGAAGAACTGATCCTCTTCCACCCGAACCACCACCAGTTAATAGTTTTGACTATGCCGTTAATCCACCGCCACCACCTCCTCCCCCTGGACTACAAATGCCTAGCAGTAGTGGTGCTCTTCCTCCCGGACTACCAAAGCCTGGCGGCGGTGGCCCTCCTCCACCTCCACCGCCGAAACTTGGCAATAGTGGTCCTAAGCCTCCTCCACCACCACCACCGCGTGGAAAATCAGGCGGTCCTCGACCACCACCACCTCCTAAGAGTGGTGCAGGTCCTCCAAGAGCTCCACCTCCATTTGGTCAAAAAGGTCCTAGACCTTTACCTAGTGGACCAAAGGTTCAAGGGAAAGTTGAAGTTAGTTCAGAAGGTGAAGGTGAAGCTGAAGCTGATGATGCTCCTAAAACCAAGTTAAAGCCTTTTTTCTGGGATAAGGTTCAAGCCAACTCAGATCAAACTATGGTTTGGACTCAACTCAAAGCAGGATCATTCCAGTGAGTGATGAATCACTTCCTTCTTTTTTAATTAAAGTAGTATTAACAGTCACTTTACAACTGTCTCTGAAGACGATTGAACACTATCGCTTAAGATTATAAGATCAAATTACTACGACTGAGTTGACACCTCATGGACTTGTCCTTCTTTTGATGCAAATTAAGAATAATTTCCCATTGGCTAGGTGTTATTACATTGCTGATATTATTGTTGATGATGAATTTTTGACAGGTTTAATGAAGAAATGATGGAAACGCTTTTTGGATATAGTACTCCATCAATGGAGAAAAAAGGTGGACAGAAGAAAGATCCTTCCTTCCGGGATGCTCCACCTCAGTTTACCCAAATCATTGAATCAAAGAAAGCACAAAATTTATCAATTCTGTTGAAAGCATTAAATGTGACACTTGAAGAAGTCCGTGATGCACTACTAGAAGGTTCTGTTTTTTCAGTTCATTTAATTTTTTTCTTCTAGAACTGCATATAGCTATAAGAAGAAGATGATGATAGTAACAATTGCTATAATAATATCGTCATCAACTTCTTCTGGTGTAACACTGATTACTGTTTTAATATGTATCAATAAATTGTATCTAGTTTATTGTCTCTGATTCCACATGTATGATTGCTTTGAATATGTTTTTGGTTGATCAGGAAATGAGCTCCCAATAGAATTTCTTCACACCCTGATAAAGATGGCACCGACATCAGAGGAAGAACTTAAGCTTAGACTTTTCAGTGGTAGTTTATCTCAACTTGGTCCTGCAGATCGGTTCCTTAAATCTTTGGTTGAGATTCCATTTGCTTTTAAACGAATGGAAGTATTGCTTTACATGAGTACTCTTCAAGAGGAACTCACCTCTACCCGAGATTCTTTCTCAATTTTAGAGGTAGGATCTCTAAATTTCTTCCCTCATATGATGCATTACTTATACTTTTAGTACTTATCTTATATGATGATCATGACTGCCAAGCTCTGACACTTCATATTGAACATGTATGGTGTCTGACATTTATTTGTCGTCTGGCACAAACTCGACATTGACACATGTAGTTACATTCAACCACTACCATTTTCTTAAATCATTATCTAAAAGAAAACGAATTTGATTCATTTCTTCATCTCAAACCAGGTTGCTTGTAAGGAACTAAGGAGCAGTAGATTATTCCTCAAGCTTCTTGAAGCTGTTCTTAAAACAGGAAACCGAATGAACGATGGAACATTCCGCGGAGGTGCACTTGCGTTCAAACTTGACACACTACTAAAGTTATCCGATGTAAAAGGAGTAGATGGGAAAATCACCCTCTTACACTTTGTTGTTCAAGAGATGATGCGAACAGAAGGAATAAGAGCAGCTCGAATGGTGAAAGAGAGCGGTAGTTTCTCTAGTATAAAAACAGAGGACCTTCTCGAAGAAGTTAATCATGAATCAGAAGAACACTACCGCGAAATAGGTCTACAAGTTGTTTCACATTTGAGCAGTGATCTTGAGAATGTGAAGAAAGCGGCAGCATTAGATGCTGATGGCTTGACAAGCACAACAGCTAGATTAGGCTATGGTCTTATAAAAACAAGAGATTTCTTTAAAAACGAACTTGTGAACAACTTAGATAATGATCAAGGGTTCCATGAGATAGTTAAGTGTTTTGTGGAGAAAGCTGAGGTTGATGTCACCGGTTTGTTAGAAGAAGAGAAGAAAATCATGGCTCTTGTAAAGAGTACTGGTGATTACTTTCATGGGAGTACAGGGAGAGATGAAGGGTTGAGATTGTTTGTAATAGTACGCGATTTCTTAATAATGTTGGATAAGGTGTGCAGAGAGATTCAAAAAGCACCAAAAAAGCCAATAAAGAATGTAAAACAAGATACAACAGATGCTAATTCTAAAGGGTCATCGAATGTAAAACAAGATACAACAAATGCTAATTCTAAAGGGTCATCGAATGTAAAACAAGATGCAACAAATGCTAATTCTAAAGGGTCATCAAATGTAAAACAAGATACAACTAAAGCTAATTCTAAAGGGCCATCAAAGCCGGAAACTCGTCCTCCACCTCCGGATACAACTAAAGCTAATTCTAAAGGGCCATCAAAGCCGGAAACTCGTCCTCCACCTCCGGATATTCGCCAGCGGTTGTTTCCAGCAGTGGTAGAGAGGAGAGTGGATGATTTTAGTTCAGATGATGACAGTCCATAGGTTAAACTCAAGTTGGAAATTGTGTTGTAACAATTTTTGTATTTCTGTTGTCATGTCATTACTTGCTATAGAATTAGAGAGACGTGACTAATTGATTGCTTTTCTGGTTTTTGAAAGGGGTGATTGTGTTGTTGATCATTCATTATTTGAATGCATGTAAAGTCATGGTTTAGTTAGCTTTCTTTTTGTATTCAAGTCACGTGGCATTAATGTTCCTCAAAACTTCAATATTTAAATGTGCATAGAATCGAACAGAAAATATAATGCAGTACCAAAATGGTTAGATTGTTGATCGACATCGAAGTGAAGGCGAAGTAAAACACGTGACTACAACAAATGTTGTACGCATTGTAACAACAAAACTAGATATTACGAACATCATATGTGAAACTAACATGAATATATTAAAATTTGTAAAACGTAACTGACGGCTTATGTTCTCAGAATCTATAAACACAATCTATCAACTGACCAAATAGGCTAACAAAATGTATTCAAACAGTATTTAGGTTACACACAATCATACATACAAAATCAACGATTCAAATAGCTTTCCAAACACACACATTATCACAAACAGAAAAGGCAAACATGTGCAACTACACAAATTTGTCGCGAGCAAAATTTAAGACTCTGGATGCTAAACAAAACTAAAAGCAAATATATGCAATCTTCATTGTTTTTTACTCTAAAAGCATTAATGAAGAAGCTATCAGCAATAAATAACACAGAAATGAATTGAAACTGAGACTGAATGGCATTAAATATGAGAAATTTTATAAACTTTCAATAAATTCTTCAAAAGGAACAGCATTAGATAAATATATCCACATCATAAACTAAAACTCTAACTACAACTACAAACTTCAAGATCTGTCTTCTAAGCAAAAACCAGATACAATTTAATAACTTAATTCGAAACACTTGTTAAAAACTCAAGTTCCAACAAATCACTCTTCATCAGCAGCAGCACCCTTGGAAGTGCCAGCTTTCTTTGGGAGCAAAAGGTTGTGAATATTGGGCATAACACCACCATTAGCAATGGTAACATCACCGAGAAGCTTGCTCAATTCCTCGTCGTTCCTAACAGCCAATTGAATATGTCTTGGCACAATTCTGGTCTTCTTGTTGTCCCTTGCAGCATTTCCAGCCAATTCCAAAACCTAATCATAAATCACAAATAAGTCCAGAATTTCAATCGACTACAAAAGCGCTGAATCATTAAAATCATTAACCTAAATTGGGGAAAACCTAACCGATTTTCGAAAACCTAGATCTAGCAATATGAATGTGAAATTCGAACGTGAGATGTATAGAGATGTATAACCTCTGCAGCGAGATATTCAAGAACGGCGGCAAGGTAGACAGGAGCACCAGCACCGACGCGCTCGGCGTATTTGCCGGCCTTGAGGAAACGAGCGATACGGCCGACGGGGAATTGAAGGCCAGCCTTGCTGCTCCTTGAGGTTGCCTTCTTGGCAGCGCCACTGGATCCTAGTGTTTTACCTCTTCCTGCCATTGATTGATGAACTTTTAGGGATTTGAAGAAAACAGAAATTTTGGATCGGTGAGAGAACACGAAGTATATTCAGATTATGGAATGGGGAGAGGATGAAGCGAGGCTTTTATATTGTGAGATGGAAAAGAATGAACCAATTAGATTGAATGACGCGGATTGATGTGGTTGCCGTTGGATTGTGGGGTTATGGATGGTCTAGATGAGTTATGTGAAAGTTTAATTTAATATCTACTTTTACCTTTGTTCAATATATGACATGTGGTAAATATTTAAAAAGTTATTATTGTTTTTTAAGTAGTATATCGCACAATTATTTTATCGAAAGCAAATGAATAATCAAAAATTATTGCTAACAAATATGATTTAAATGCGATATAATTTTTTTGTTATTAATAGATTAATATAAATTTACAAAAGGACTATCCAATCTTTAGAATACTAGTTGAAAGTTTGTGTGTTAGAGCAGAGAGGTGTTTGGAATAGTTATTTATCGTTGATTGAGTTTATCTATAACGATAATTTTCATTTTAGTATTTGAATGGCATTGTCTGAGGCATTGTATAGTAGAAGGTATAGGGCACCTTTATATTGGTATGAGTCGGGAAAGAATGTTGTAATTGAAAGAGAAGATGAGAGTTTCGTAGAGTCACGAGAAGAGCTACCATGATAAACGAAAGAAAAGTACTTCAGTTTTATGAGGGATATCATGTGTTTTTGAGAGTTACTCCAGTAACTGGTGTTGGTCGAACTTTAAAGTCTCGAAAACTCACGCCATGTTTTGTTGGTCTGTACCAGATCTTGCAGAGGATAGAAGCAGTGGCCTATTAGATTGCTTTAACATTTCTGATTGGTAATCTTCTTGATGTGTTTCATGTGTCTTGGTTGAGGAGATACATTTTGGATTCGTTGCATCTCATTCAAGTGGATGATGTACAGGTAAGAGAGAACATGATTGTGGAGGCATCACTCGTACAAATAGAGGATCAGAAAGTGGAGTAAGTTGCGTGATAAGGAGATTGCCTTAATGAATGTAGTTTGGGGAGGACTAGCTGATGGAAGCGTGACTTGGGAGCTGGAGAGTCAGATGAGAGAGTCGTATCTGAATTTATTATTAACTTAACATAATTTTCGAGGGCAAAAATCTTTAAGTGGGGGAGAATTGTAACACCCAAATTTTCGATTAATTGTTTTTAAGTGATTTATTTATATTATGTGCATTTTATTTAATTATTATGATTTAATTAAATAAATAAGTGTTGGAGGTTATATGCTTGGTATTGTGGAGTGTAGAAAGAAAACTAGATAAAATCTAAAATATTAGTATTTTATTAATTAAAATAAAATAGTAATAAAATATATAATAGTAAGAGATGGGGTTGAATTGCGAATTAGTAGAATTATAGGGTGAAGTAGTGAGAGGATAGATTAAGTGGGGTAGAAACTGAATTTTAATTAGATTAACCTAATATTTAAGGTTAAGAGATGATTAACCTAGATAATCTATTAGTACGTGTAAATTGAGAAGAAAAGTGGCGAGGAGGCAAGAGTGAAATCAAATAGACTAGAGGTAGAAGAAGAAGAAAAAGAACCCAATTGTGTGATTTAATTGTTGCTAAGAAAACAAGGTAACGAGGAGAACTATTTCTTTAATGGGTATATGCATGAGGGGTAGAAAGATGTGTCTTTAACCTCCAATAAGTTTTGTATGATTGTGCATGTTTTGTTGTGTTTATATGTGAATCTGAAACTTGGTAATTAATTGGTGTTGTTGTCTATTTGTCATGATGAAATTTGTGAGAATTATTCAAGAATAATGATGTGACGTTTTATGTTGTGATAATTATTCATTGTTTAGTTTTGAGGGCTTTGGAATCATGATGAAAGTGATGAATAATTGATGATTATGCATGTTAATTGATAGGAATGATTTGTTTGATGTTAATATGCGGATTCTCTGATAATTTCTGATAGATTTGAGTGTCAGTAATGAAAAATCAAAGTTTTGATTTGAACACCATAGTAGAAACACAATTCTTCATTTTGCATGTCGATGGCGTGCGTCATCCCCATGACGGGTGTCGTGGCCTTTATAACATTGACGGGCGTCATGTAACACCCCAAAAATCATAATCAAATATTTAATTAGTTATTTGTGATTATTTAGGAATTATTATGATATATATATGATGCATCACGGTGTTTGGTGATGGTATGTTGTGGGGTAGTGTTGGAATAATAATATATGAGGAGTATTTGATTAGTTTATAATTATTTAGAATTTAAATAATTATTTGAGATTTATTGGATTTAATAATAATATTTAAAATTATTATTATAAAGGAAATTATGGTGTAGAAACAAGAAGGGTTAAATGGTAAAGTAATATGGAATAAGTGAGGACTGTTAGACGATATGACGTATCTAGAAGGGGGAGTTGAATAGATACCGTAATTTTTAAAATCAGTTTTTAAGAAAAACTTGAAGCACAATGAAAGCTACTCGGATACACTCGTCTAAAAATGATCCTCTATTGAAAAGACCGGAAAAGACCGGATATGCGAAAAACCGAATGGAATGAATCAATGAGAATTATTAACACTTAACTCAATTATAATTGACCACTTATACTCTTTAACTATTGTCAATTACTTCCAATGAAATATTGAGAAGAAAATACACAAATTTGTACTTATGGACTTTTATTGAACACTTGGTGTACTTAATTACACCAAGTCCAATCTACCTTAATTTGTAGTGTTGAAATCAATTATAGCAATCAAAGTGATTACTATAGTTTTTAGTAACAGTTCTATTGCACTACAAATCAGGACAGTTGGAACCACAAGAGCAAATTTTCAAATTATTGCAAATAAACGGTAAAGGGTGAGAAAGAAACACGACATGCAATTTGTTAAGGCAGTTCCCCCTGTCGTCCTCGCGTGGGGTACGTCTTCCCCTAATTATAGAATTTAGAATTAGGATAATTGCTATTATGATTGCAAAGCTTATACAAGAGATAGAAAATAGTTACCACAATTCAAACCCAATATGTTGAATTGAAAACTAAGCTCCTCTCTTCCCTTGATTTGATTTAAATAAAGTATGTCACTAATCTTCGATAAACCTCTGGTTGTAGCTACCTTGTTGAGAACCCAAACCGTTTATCAAACCCTCTGCTCGACTGATTTGATCGCAAGATGATGACCCCAATTCTTCCTTCAAAATCCTCCAATTGTAGCTACCTTGTTGAGCGAACCCACGGTTCCTCAATCTCTTAAGCACAGCTGAATTTGATGAAGAAAAAAACTGTCAAAAAAACCCCAAATCCCAATGATCTTAGAGGACAAAACCCTCAAATTTTATTCAAGAAAACCCACAATTACTCAACCCGAACAAGATCGCAATCTTCTACTTTGGATGTTGTCAACACACGCTCCGCACCTTGATCGACAAAAATTATCATGTGTAGTTGTCAATGAATGAGTGAGAGGTTGAATATGATGAGTACCTTGTGTATCTATTTCACTTGTCTTGTTAAAACCAAATGATATAACCAAACAAGTATATATATATATGTTATCTGAGGTCAAGACCCAAACTAATAGACTGAAAAACAGTTTTTACGAGCGAATGGTCGACCTATGCAAGAGGGGACTCGACCTGAGCATTCTCGTAAGTGCCATATGACAATGTATACAAGCCATGTGTCGACCTATGCAAAAGTGTTACTCGACCTGAGCATTCCCAAAAGTACCATATGATAATGTTCACGATCCATGCATCGACCTATGTAGAAGGGTGACTCGACCTGAGCATTCTTGAAGGTGCCACATGACAGAGTGCAAGATCCATGCGTCGACTGCTCCAGGGGTATGCTTCGATGCATAGTTCCTAAACATTGCTTTCAGGATGAGTTGACCATATAGTCAACGTGAGCAAACCTGAGACTTCCCAGAGGAGCAACTTTTAATCATGCGTCAACTTGAGCTTTCTTTGAGTCGACTCATAACATATAAAATTTCAAATATATCAATTCTTGAAGATTTTTCATGCTACTTTGTCTATCATATCATCTAGCAACATTTCTAACATAGTTTTGACATCATTGAAGTCTTGCCCTCACATACTCCCCTTTTTTGATGATGGCAAAACTTGTCCTTAGCACCATGTATCGGAATGTTAATCTTGGAGATTTCCCCCCTATCTTTGTGCACCCTTTTGTTTCATATTGGCTTTCATATCAATTGTTCTTGACTTCCATATGCTTCTCCCCCTTTGACAACATCAAAAAGAGTCAAAGCAACATGTTAAAGTAACAACAATCAATATAAATAAGGTTAGATCATTATCTACATTGGCAATCAATAACTCTAACAAACAATCACATAAAGAGATATTAGAGAAAGGCATAGAAAATAAATAGACATCAATCATATAGTATAGTTGCAAACCGATGTTCAAAGTAAGACAAACACAAAGTAAGTCATAATTCAAAAATAATTAAACAACGAATACTAGCTAAAGTTCATGAAATTTGCAAAGTACAAAAAAAACATCAATTTTCATCACTCTCATTTCCTTGTTGTGGTGGAGGATCTGATGGTTGGTTAAAAGGGAAGTGTTGCATGAAATTGTTGGTGAAGTTGTTTGCTTGAGACTCTATCATCCCATACAAAGTATTATGTCTTTGATCTTGAATGGTAGAATATGCGGAAAATTGTTCAACATGTACTCTGACACGGTTTGATAGAGTGGAAAGTCTCTCATTCACAAGCGAGGAGTTCTCCTCCCGTTGAAGGCGCGTAGACTCAAGCAGGTTCAGAATGTTAGCATTGTTTCTACCTGTCACATCATCTTCATTCATGGCAGCAACATTTTCACTTTCCTCATTTTCTTCATCTTGTTCCTCCTCACTGTCATCTTCTTGCTGCAAGCACACGTTATTGCTTCTTATCACATACATATACCTTTTCTAACTCGCATCCCATTGGTGACCCATT